AGAAACTGCAATGGGAAGTTCTCTCGATTAAGCAACTTGACACGAAAAACATAAGTGACAAATTCTTAACTAAGATACACATTGCCAAGAAAAATAATACACAGGCATTTTAACTACTCAATAAGTGGCTAGTTTTGAAAAAAAAAGTCATGTGGGCCTATTTAAAATTTCGAGAAAATGTCATAAAATCCATAGACGGATATTCGTCATTCTCCATCCGATAAGAAAATAGCAGACTGGGCACAATTATATTAAAATTACATATTTGATAAGCAAATCATCCAGAGTGATACATAGTATTTAACAACTGTATGTATGAGTTGACATACTTTTTTTTTCAAAAATATCCACAGAACATTATTGACATAGAGAGACTTACAGCTAAAATAAAACTAGACCAATGTGTTGTTCAGTTTGTTTTCAAAAATAACTACAATGTCACAAGAGAGTGTTCACCTTATACAATGGTGGGAGACATTAATTTCAGAAGTAGTGACGTGACTTGTGTCATTCACCTTACACCAGAGATAAAGCAAGATGATTTTAATTAGAGACATTTTAAAGTGACTAACTTTAATTAGGTAAAGTAAAATGAACAATATATTTTTTAATGGAAAAATGTCATAACATTCCATGCAAATTAAACAAAATCAAATAATTCCACAGACATATTTTTACACAATGTATTCTTAACACCTATCATCGCCTTATTACACATTATTAGACAGAAAACTCAAAGCTTTCTTAATCCAAATTAACTTAAATTTAGAACTTAAAATTAGTATCACTATTACCAGTACAAAAGGAACTGAGACAAATACATTAAAACAGATCTGCCATTGCAACAAAAAATACCCTTTCTCCTTGCAATTTAATGAAGTCTTTTAATGAATACAACAAAATAGAACAAATCAAAGATTAGATGATTAGTCATGCAAAAATAATTTACCAAGTATATGCACAACATAATCTGTCAACTAAAAGTTTAAGCATGTAAAGAGTGTATTTTCCTTGTTTATATTTTACACGTAAAATTAATTTTTTTTGTATTTTTATTTGCTCACTTATTCTCTAATAACCTACATACATAATTATTACACTGGAAATGCTGAATTTATCATTAAATAGCAGATTTCTTTAATACCTCACTGGTATTAATGTTAAGTCTAAAATTTTAGATTAGTACAAAGCAAGTGCAGTGTGAATTAAATATTAATACTTAAACTGCACTGTCCAATTTAACCCAAATTTCCTGCTCTGATCTAAGCATTGTATCGTTTTAGTTAACGGTTGTAGTCAAACAGGCCTGCACCTAGAGAAGTCTTTGGTTGTGACTCGTCATGCATCTCTAAGCCCTGCCTGTAAGCCTGTACTACTTTTTAGCCTTAGCGGAATTCCCCTGCTTGTTAGGAGGGGTCCATCTTAGCGCTGAAGGATCCACTGTCAATCTAGGCTTTTTGAAGTGAGAGCTTGCCAGTTGCTCTGCAACTATCTTTGGTGTGACACAAATTACATGCTGACCTTTCCAGTATTTTACCATGTTCATTGATTGCAGTGTAGATATTATGTCTGTTTGCGAAATACCTGTCATCTGACTGAGATCTTTGATACTGAGAGTGCCTCGGCTGGCACTCAACACTTCCAACAAAACATATGACCAGTAAGATCTGTAGCTCAACTTCCCTAAATCTGACAGTGGTTTTTCAGGACTGCCAACAACTTGTTCGAGCCTGGAAAGCTCATAACTGAACGCTATGAGGAGTTTGCCATAACCCTGCCTTTGAAATGGAGGGAGTGTCAATATACATGCAACATTGTTTCCTTCAGGAGAGTCCTTCTCCTTGGAGAAGTATCCAACAAGATGTGCACCTTGCTTGTCAACCTCACACAGGATATAAAACAGAAACTGTTCAATATCGAAATACAGTGTCTTGTGATCTAGAAACAACTTCGCTAGCAGACATAAGTTCTGACAATAGATTTTATGCTCCTTACCGTCGGCCTCGAAAATAGCGATTGTGCCCTTCCTATATATTTCATTGCCCTGTGGTTGCCTCGATGTGCATTCGCTCAAGTGATACCTGTAAGTTTTCTCCATCCGCATGTATTTAAGACAATATTCGCATATCCACAGCTTCGACTGTTTTCCGTACTCGTCGGGGTACGGACTGAAGTACCAAGTATCGATCTCGTATTTCCCAATCTGAATTCTGTCAATGTATTTTACTTTGGTGATAGCTTCGTGTTCCTTCTCCAGCGCCGCCGTAGTAGGGTCCATTTCTGCGTACGTCTTTTGAACATGGTTAATTTCGTCGTGTTTACGTTTCTGGTTTCGAGTTATTTTGCGGCCGGATTTATCCGTAAGCAAGTGATCCGAATTTAAGTTGTTACTAGACTGTTCGCACATGTCAAACCTGTCGGACATGACCCGGTGGCGGGAAACCCACTCGTCCAGCCTTCTATCGTACCCAACATAGTGCACATAGTACTCGTAGTTTGACTCCGCCGCATTGTAGCGCGTCTGTATAATCTCAGCCGGGTGCCATGACTCATCCGAACGCCGCACCAGATAATGCTCTCCTATATCCAAAGGTTGCTCTTGTGGCGACTCCGGGTCTTCATGATCTGCACTCCTACACTCCGGATTCGGTAATTCATTGTTCACGTTTGGTTTTTCTAACTCTTTATCACCTTTTGCCATAATAAAACAAAAATCAACACTGGAAACACGCAATACCGCGCAACACACGCAATATCGGCGGCCATAATACCCATAGACAAAAATAGTCAAGGGTGAATCGGAAGTACTTGTCGAAAGGATCCCATTCATCTGGCGTTTTACTCGTCGTTTGTGGTACCCTTATTACGCAATAATAGCAAAAAATGTGCTTGTGTTAATGAGATGACATGATGAAATGACTAATTCGGTGGAGATGTGGGCATTCATTTCAAACATTTTGTCTAAAGTGAACAATATATTTGTTAATGAGTACATAGGGTGTAGTACATACTCCAAAGTAATTGAATGGAACTGAAAACAAATTTTGATTGAAATTCACTCAGTCTATAAAATAAATTTGCTGAAACAAAAAAGCAGGATCTGTAAATCAAGTTATAACATATTGTCTATGGTAATAGTGTGGCAATATATGGCGAATTTGCTGTAATGTGAGGAATTTTAATCTTGTGTAGGCGAAAAAGCGGCACAGTTAATGTCCAGCGATGAAGGGATCATTTAACACGCAATGTGCAATATTAAGCGCTGTTAGTGAATGACAATTATATGTATAAATGTACACTTTGTCGAATGGATCATGTTATCGCTAAGAGTTTCATTTATTGTCACTGTGACATTGCTGGGCGTAAAGTTTTGAAAAATGCTAATACGAATTAAGGCTAGCAGCGCAAAAATTATATGACCCACATTTAATTTTCTGTGTACAAAGGTAATAACATTGTAACAAAAATTATATTGAAGTACATGATTATTAAATATATGATATTTTCTTTCGTGCATAAAAAAATATAGTTAATTATGATTGACATATATAATTACTACATATAAAATGAATTTGACTAATTTTAAATCAGTATTTTAATATCTTTTATATGCATTTCCTGGTATATGCACTTTTGCACTCATAGCCTCTTCAACCACGTATAGACTGTACATTGATCAAGTACATCAATCACAAGTTTATTTGGATACAAAAGGTTTTTAAACCTTTTTAAAAGTTACCTAATTTTGACAAGAATAATTTATATTCGGTTGCAAATTTTCTATACATTATTGAAATAGAAAATAATTACATACTTTAGTATCATTTAAAATAATATTTTTATTATTATTTATTAATATTTGGTATCATTTAGAAAAAAAAATGTGAATTATACCAATTTTGCGCTGATAGCCTCAATTGGCTTCTGGAGTAGTTTTAAATGATCGCGTAACTTTTCTTTAGATATGCGATACTTTTTTATGACCATGCTATTAGTTCTAAGGAAAAAATGATAATGATAGACCACATCTCTATTAAAGACGTTACAGGAGGAGAAACGGGAAAAACTGTTTTGTCAGATCAAATGGTTTAAATGTTTACTTATAAATAACGGTCTTACAAAAAAATAATATACGACATACCTAAGGGTACTGTCGAAAGAATGTGCTAACTCGTTACACCATAGAATGTACTTTACTATATAAATGTTGTAGCAAATCGTAGCAGTCGCTACAAATCTCATTTGTGTATATTAAATTTTATAATATTAGTATTTTTAAATATAGTTTTATATTTAAATTCTAAATTTAAATGATTGTTTTTGGCGCCTTTTCATTACATTGTTCTCTGTTTTGGATTGATAGATGTCGTGTTTTGTGATAAATTAATAAACTGTATGTATATTTGCTTTGGTCTTGCTTACTCTTTGTTAGTACTGTAGAGTAGGCTGTATGAATTGTATTAGAACAGGCTGGTTAGGTTTGTACTAGTTTATATTTTTATTATTATTTAAAATTGTAAGAATAGAACGTTGTTGTCAAAAGAACAAGATGATGGTTCTGAACAAAGTATTCAAATTGAATACACGTAGTAAAGTTTTATTTATGTTTATTTTCCTCGTTTCTCATTGAAATGTGCCTCTCGCTACGCTAACCCCCGGCTACGACCCTTACAGTACACACTCGGGTGGAATTCGGACCCCACCATTGACACAATTCGCTACATATAATATATAATTACTATTATCATATAAAATCCCGAAAACAGGCTAAAATAAAAGTCTAAAACGAATGATTTCAATATAAAATAAATGTAACTTTTTACATAATTTTTATATGGAGATAATTCTCTCTAAGTACTGTAACTCTTTTAGTACTATAAAGAACCTGCTAAATTTAGGTTTTCAACTGAAGCTCTTGTAATTATTAAATTCATATTTGCCCCAAAAATTAAAAATCGGGCGCTTGTCAACGTTGGATCTGTGAGTGTCCAATTTTCTCCGCCTGTTCTTATTTAATTGATATTAAGTTGAAGCGTGCGTGTTGCGGGGTGAAAGGTAATGAAAATGATGGAACTTACAGAGTTAGAGTAGTAGATATAGAACGCAATGGAATGGACCAGAGTGGTTAGTTCTATAGTTCTATAGATCGATACACGGCACTTTTGATTACACTCACGTATTTATATTTGGCCCGTTATAGACTTTGATTTTAACACTAAAAGTGTTCAAAACTCTGGAAAAGATCAGCCTGACTTGTGACGTGGCTAGTCGCGCCGTTGTCTACGTACCAATTTTCGGTGTCTCGATCGATGGAAAAAATGTCAATGTTCTCTCAATTGACATCAGGATCATGTTTACGTTTTTCGAGTTCGAAGGCGTGAGATTTTGGCTTTTTGGAGGTTTGCCATCGCGGATCCACTTCTGGCAGTCTCTCACTCGGTGACCAATACCTACTACTACCTACATAATGTAATAGTTACTTTAACTTCTTGTCCCTTTTCTTTTCCGTCATCGAATGTGTCCAGTATTTTACATATAAGTAACAATTCCGGCAACTCATTGCTATCCTTCTTTAATTATTCGTTGAGTCCAGATATTTTTTAATTTGGACATGTGTGTCGCTACATCATCTGTCGAATCCTTTCTAAAGCCGAAAAAACTCATACATAGATTGTATTTTGTCTTCGTTGGTACCGTCGTAAAGCCTGTGTAGTTCCAGCCAAACATTTCCCGCTTTGGTAAAACGCATAACCTTTCGTAATGTGCCTGTGCTTCTTGCATGTTCGTCGTAAGAAAGCGGAGGGCGTCGTGGGCTCTTGAAACGTACCTTCAACTACCTCTAGTGCTTGCGGTACGGTGCGTAGTAAGCATTTGGCTTTATATTTCCAGTGTCCCAATTATTGCCGTCAAGAAGACTGATTTGGACGTTTTCCGTAATACTATCCATGTTGCTTGAGCTGGCCCCTAAATCTAATGAAAATGATGGAACTTACAGAGTTAGAGTAGTAGATGTAGAACGCAATGGAATGAATCAGAGCTCTATAGTTCTATGGACCAGTGCACGGCACTTTTGATTACAGTCACGTATTTATATTTGGCACGTTGTAGAGTTTGATGTTAACACTATTTTTTTCGTACACGAGTGACGTTTCTATTTTTCGAAAGTTTATTTTTAATGCATGACAGCTTTACTTTACTTTACTTTAACTTTGCTTTACTGTTGAATATTTTAAAAGAGATACAAATACTAAAAAGTACATATTGTCTGTACATCAACACAAGGGGCGGTCCCCCACACCTCACCTACTAAAATCCAGACTCGCGTCCAAATAACTCGCCTTAACTTATTATACATTGGAATTAAAATAATAATCTTGCAAGTTAAAACATTCTTTAATTGGGAAAACATGAATTTTGATATAGTAACTTTATTTTTTAACGTCGAATGGAACGTTTCGCTGTAGCGGTGAACGAAACGAAACGTCTCGGTCCAAGTGAATTTATTCGAGGAATTCGTGAGCAAAATTGCATATCTCTTGATGGAGATATGAAATTTTTATCTGTTAACTGTGCTGTTCATTAGTAAAGTTGTTGATTGCGATGCCGTATGGTGTTAGTTGCATATAGACGTGTTTTTTTAGTGCTGTGAGTAAAATATAGGGTCCGAGGCCTCCCAGTGAAGTTGTGGATAATTTTGGTTTTTTAGTGATACATTTTAGGTAAACCGGAGAAATGCAGGCCATCAAATGCGTTGTAGTTGGCGATGGGTAAGAATTTTCCTAACTCTTTGATTAATAATATTTAGTGTATGCTTTCGTAACGTTTCATCGGTAAACGCCTGACGTCATTTTTAAATTGAAACATCTTGATTTGTGCCGTATCCCGGCTGCAGGGACAAATGGACGAGGACGATAATACACGTTTATTTTATCGCGGTTATTGTCCCATTGTGTCGATCCCCTACGTCTTTGTGTGGTGTAAATTATGATTAATGAGGGCAGAGAACAAACAAAATTTACAAAGGTTATGATTTGTGCACAAAGCTGAATATGTAACGTTATTATGCTTTTCGGAAAAAAGTACAGCAGTGTACACTACTTGTAGTTTGTTGTAAAATGTGATGCTTTTGTTTCTGGTCTGTGATCTTGCATATTACTATGCAAATAAAAGGGTGGCAATTTTTCACTTCACCCTTTCCATAATTCACCTATTCTACTTAACAAAAAGAAAACATTATCGATCTATGAATTTTGTCTTATACATATATTACAATAATTTATACATTATGTTTTGCAACTTACTATGTAACAATTTTATCTGCAATATGATAAGTGGTATTATATTATTTTTTCACAGAGAAGATAAAACCAAGATTAAAATCGATAACATAGTGTTCCTACAAACTAAAAGTACCTGAAATTAAAAATATTAAATTGCATTGCTTACAAATTATTTGTGTAAAATTCACACTGTGAGGCAGATAACATGTTAAGACATTGCTTTGGTGTTCATAATTAAACAGATCATTAGTTAATGGTAAACTTTTTATAGACACTTGAGGGGCATTTTTTTGTTTATAATATTCCTGGATATCTTTTAGTAAAAGTAACTCGAATAAGCCTCTATAATATAAATGTAAATAGAGCACAAAATTGTAAGATGTGATTATACCTCAATCAATCAAATCAAGTATGATCCCTGTGACAGTACATAAAAATCCACACAATATAACCTTGTTAGGACATGCACTAATTGACATATTTTGTGAACTACTTTTATAAGCCTCACTTTTAAATGAATAGCCTTTGTTTAAGTAAATTCATTAGATTAAATAAAAGTTACACCAATTCAATGTTTATTTATAAAAAATGAGCGACAATATCTATTGATTTTACCTCATCTGTATAAAAAACGTCAAATAAAGTGTCACAGGGATTATCCCAGCATTTTGACGCTTTGTCCCAAAAACGCAAAATGACAAACGGGTAGAATCAGATTAGGAGAACACCAGATTCGCAGAGTACCAGATTAGCAAAATGCCAAATATCGCTGCCAGGAAGGGCCTCCCTCCTTCTGACGCACAAATTAACATCCAGTCCGGGAGACATTTAAAAAAAATAATTTAAAATTGTGTGTTGGTACATACTAATATAGCAATATAAGTTAGTAACCTAATTGAAGCTGTGAAGTTAGCAAGTTTCTTTATCATAGGAAGACTATTTAGCAGTGAAAGGATACTACATTTTGTTTTTAATAAATAAGTAAATAAATAAGTGACATTCTTATGATGTGGACATTAGTTTGTGCGTCAATAGGCGGGAGGCCAGGGGCCTTACCATGAACTCTTATTACGATTCAGTTTAAGTCCTATAATGAATCATTGTGAGACAGCGCTACATGAAGTCATCACCACCATCCCGCTTTTTTGTCGTTACGAACCTATATTGAACTGTAATAAGAGTTCATGGTAAGTAGGGCCCCTGTTCCTGGCAGCGACATTTGGTGTTTTGTGAATTTGGCATTTTGAGAATCTGGCATTCTGTTGGGCATTTTGCGTTTGTGGCATAAAGTGTCAATACGCATCCCAGTTTGCATTCAGTATACCAGTGCTAAAGAAAAGGTGTTCTTAAAAGACTTGCCGACTAGTGAACTACAAGAAACCAAGAAAAATACATGTTCATTGCTAATTATTGTGACTCTTACATAACTTGTACCTTTATTGAGTTGACCTGACTCACTTAATTGAAACAATATGAAATATGGTCTGAAAGAAACTGTCGCTGTCTAAGGGCACTATTAATGAGAGGGAACTCTGCAATAGGCAGCTTTTCTCATCAGACAGTCATGCATTTAATTGAGCAACTTTTTGTTGTGACTACTGAAATATTAAATAGTTTAGTGCATGTATTTGTTTTTTTTTTCAAACAATGTTTCGGATCTCATGTAGCCGTGACCTATAAAGAGCCAGAAATTTTGATTTGTTTGATAACAACAAATATATCTGATTTAGATCTAAAAAAATAGTTCCATTTCCTATAGATAAGAAGGTTGTTGATATTAACGACTGTAATAGGTTACAATAAATAGGACTGCGAAACAGGCTTGGTGCAAACAATATTAATTCTCAGTATGCAAAGTGCATTGCCATAGTGTCGTATTTCCAGCTTTGCAAATCTCTCGGTTTTACATACATGCATAATCTTGTAATTAAATGTTTTTCATTTATTGTTAGATTATGCCTCAATCAATCAATTCCTTAAGGCACAAATCATAGAATCATCACAATCATGAATCATATTACATGAACAAATTATCAGACATTCATTTTTAATTCAATGGAATACAATTTTGTTTATTCTAACATATATATATATATATAATTTTTTGCAAAACTTGTATGTTTTACGTGAATAACATCTCATGTTTATATTTGTATCCCCTATGTAGATATCATCTGTATTGAATAATTCTTTTCTTGTTCAACGTCATACCCAGATTATTACATGTTTATTGTTGTTCTTGACATGTTTTAATGGGATTAGGTTAAAAAAAAGGCAAAGTATTATTATATAATTGATGCATAACACTGTCTACTATGTGTTTCAGGCTATGTTATATATATGTATGTTCTATAACTGAACATAGAATAGACATAGAATAGTAGAACATTAATATAAAGTTTACAGAAACTTTATATTAATGTTCTACTATTAAATGAAAATACCTACTCATATTTCATTTGTAATAAATTTTACTCACTTTGATAGTTATACTCCTATATGCTTGGCAATGATCTATCATTGACTCATGGACATATTAATTTAGAGGAACCCTAAAATAGGTTGTATCTTAGATAACAATGTTTGTGTGAACCACTGGCCATATATGGAATGTTTAATTGTATTCAAATGATGATTGAAGTCATTCTTTTATCCAATTAAATTTTGTATTGTATGTGGTCACATGTTCATTATTGCATGTAGTTCAACAAAAGGATCCAATCCACATCTACTCACTTTCGAGATATGGCAGTTTGCAGTTTAAAAGTGTTTCTCATTCTTGTTTTATTTTCAAAACTTATAATGTCATGTAACACCAGAGATATTTATTTATGTTTATATGTTGGATTTTTTGCTGATCTAAGAGGATAGACTTTAGGAACCGTTTGGTACATGTAACTCATTTTTTGATAATTTTGTGGATTGGATCCTTTTTGTCCAACTATGCCCACATTATGTACACATTGTTATCAAAGTTCAACCTTTGATGACTGTAATTGGCAGCCGTATATTATTCTTGAAATTTGGGGTTCCTTTGGGCTACTGAGTGAAACTGGGATGGTTATAATATCTCGAACATTGTAGTATGGGTGTTTCTAATTTCTAATTTTGCGCAATAATTGCGCAAAATCTTTACAAAGTTAAAAATGTTATTGATTTTTGAAAATAATATGACTGAGGATGTACCCTAACACAAGAGAAATGAAAGGCACAGATATAAAATCAATATTGAAGACGATATTTGGTTTTCAAAAATATGTCTAGCTACAGTAATGAAGAATGGACATGGAAATGATTTTTTATGATAAAGTAGTGAAATATAATTACTGTAGTGATATGCATACATATAAAAAAAAATATTATTTTGTCATTCCTACTCATAATGATAAATAGAAAATTTTAACTTAAATCTAAAAGCTGAAACTGAAACTTAAATCTGCAACAAAACTTTAACATAATAAGTATCACTTCCAAAGTACCACCAAATCTTCATCAGGAACTTTAGGTGCTAATTATTATTAATTGGGTCTCTGGGTTACTGCAATCAGTCATTTTTCTAAGACATTTAATGTAATGTATATATGTGCATGCCCGTGTTCTAGTATGTTTGTGTGTGCGTGTATGTATAATGTGTAAATTCTATTTCTAGTATTAATATAATAATTATCATTTTCTTTGCTAATAGCTATTTTTTAGTAAACAACCTTGTATTATTAATTAAATCAACAAAACAAAATAAATGTTTTCTAAAACCCAAAATTATAATAAAAAAGTGGAAAAAATAGCATACTTAAAAGTTACATATTTTTTAAAAGTTATATACTAATTCAGTACTATTCAAACAGTATTTTTCATAATCTACTTCTTTTTCTTTCCATTTTTTTTACCCTTACCTTTTCCTTTTATGTTACACTTATTTGTATCGTCATGGTTTTCGCTTTCTTTTTTTGGTTAATTTAGCTTCTACTTCTTACTGTTCTAATGAAAGGATTTGTACCAACATTTCAAAATTACTGTCTCTTTTTTTAATGTTAAACTGTCTTCCGATCTTTCTTCTATAATTTTTTCCAGCTATTTGATTTTCAGTCTTTCTTGATACTTGTATATAGAAATTTTGTATGTAGAAAGTCTTCAATTTGTTATTCTCTTTTTCCACATCTCTTATAACATTTTTCATTACTTTTACCTTTTTATCTCGTTGGTATCTCAGTCGTTTTATTTTTTGCTCTCAATTGGAACAATTTCTTAGGAATGTTCACACTCGTATTTTCGTCAATTTTTTGCAATGAGGAAGACAGATCTGATGCAAGTGGATATAATCCTTGTTTTCCTAGTTGCTTTTGTTTGCTACCTTCTGAGTCCAAAAGTTCAATCTCTTTGTTTGACTTTTTTTGTTTGTTGAAATTTCTTACTATTTATCTTCCATCTCCTCCGTCTTTCTGGACACCACATATACAGAGTGCACAGAGTGTAGGTGGTGTCAATTC